AGAAGCCCACCGGATTGCTCACCAACCACCCTAGGCTCTCAGAGATCATGGACGGTAGGCTGTGTTCCGGAGACCACCAGCATGTGCTCCTGGAGGGGAGTAGCAGGACTTCCCGGGCCCAGGAGTATCCGCCCGCGTTTGCTGAAGCCGTGGCTCGTGCCGTGACCGAGCAGTGGAGCGGCGTCAGCAGGTCAAGGTCACCCACGTGGGCCGAGCTTAGCGAGAGCCACTTTCCAGAGGACGCGGAGCCCTCCCTCGAAGATCTGGAAGGTCCCGGGGAAGCAAGCGGAAGCGAGGCGGAAGAACACGAGACGCGGGGCCCAGGAGCCTCCGGACCAAAGGAACCCCCTCCCGAGCCGACAGAAGAAGAAAAGCGTTTGCTGTTCCGTTTACACGTGAATATGGGTCACCCATGCAACCGAAAGTTCGTGCGAGTCCTCAGGGCCGGAGGCGTGAAGATACACCTGCTTCGCTGGATCAGAGACGTGTTTAAGTGCTCGGAGTGTGCCGAGCGAGCTCGCACCAGCAGCCACCGCAGGGTGGCACTTCCCAGGACGTTCAGGTTCAACCACATAGCGGGTGTCGATCTTTTCTTTATTCCCTTCCAGGAGAGGACCCTGGCGTTTTTGAACGTCGTGGACCACGGATCCAACCTGCAGGTCTGTGTGCGGGTGGAGGAGCCCACAGCGGCTCAGGTTTGGGGGGCTTTCGTGAGAGCGTGGATCCGTCCTTTCGGGGCTCCTCATTTTGTTTTGTCGGACGGGGGCTCTGAGTTCGAGGGTCGGTTTGCCCGAGGACTCGAGCAGCGGGGAGTTCTCCACCACGTGTGCGACGCGAACTCCCCGTGGCAGAACGGACGCGTCGAGAGACACGGAGGCTGGATCAAAGACAGGATCAAGGGAGAGGTGGAGGCCGGTTCTGCCATTCCCGGGGACGTAGGGGAGCTCGAGGAGCTTGTCTACGAGCTGTGTGCCCATAAAAACAGTTTCTGGCACCGGGGCGGGTTTTCTCCGGTCCAGCTCGTTTTTGGCGAGAACCCCCGGATGCCACACGAAATGCTGTCGGATGATCACATGGGCCTTCCAGGCTGGCAAGATTCCATACGACCGGCCTCGGAGCTCGACTCCGCGGGCGCGGAGTTTGCCCGGTCGCAGCGTGTTAGGGAGTTAGCGCGTCGCCTGGCTCTAGAGATCACCGCCCGGGACAAGGTTGCCAAGGCCACCAAGGCGAGGGGACCCAGCCAGGACCAAGCGATGTTCCGTCCAGGCCAGTGGGTTTTCGTCTGGCGACGCCTGACCAAAGCGGGTCCTAGGGCCGACACCCTGGGTCGCATAGGGCCGACACCCTGGGTCGCAGGCGGGGCGCGTGGACGGGTCCCGGGGTCGTGGTCCTGTGCGAGCGTGGCACCGTCTGGGTCGCGGTGCGAGCGCGTCTCTGGAAATGCTCTCCAGAACAGGTTCGTCTGGCCAGTGCCGAGGAGGAATACGGCATCCAGGTTGCCCAGGATCCCCGGTGGTCCGAGCTTCTCTCCCAGGCTCAGGCCAGGAGAGCGACGGCGGTGGACGTCCAGCGAGAAGGTCCCCCCCCCGACGAAGCGTGGGACCAGCCGCTGTCTCCAGAGGTGGACTCGGCGCCTCAGGTGCCCCCGGGGCCCGAGCCAGAACCACGGCCGGATGCGCCTCGAGAAGTTCCGAGTGCGAGACCTCCAGGGCCTGCTCTGGTTCACCGTGGGTTCGATCCGATCGGGCCCAGGCCTCCGAGGGGAGTCGGGCCCCGGCCGTCATCGGCCGGGGGCTCTGCGGTCGCCCGGGCCGGATCCGAGCGAACTCGACTCCCGTCCACCTCCGAGGGAGACGGCCAGGGAGAGGGCGGGCCACCCACGAGGCAAGACACTCCAGAGGACGAGGACACCCTCGACCCGGCTCCCCCTATCTCTTCCTCTCCTCCTCCTCCTCTCCTTCCTTCTAACCCTGTGCCTGCCCCCACCGTCGACGAGGATGCCTCTGGCGGAGCCAGCAGGCCAGGGAGATCTAGACTGTCTCAGCCCAGAAACGTGCCAGCTTGTATTCGCCAGCGTCAGGCTGAGACTCGAGCGGCGAGCTGTCCTCCCGAGGTCGTCGAAGTCAAGCGTGCCAGGATAGAGCCACCTCCAGGATTGGGTCTGTCCAGCAGCTCTCCCCAAGTGAGCGAAGGGCCGAGTGCCAGTGCTGCTGCTGCCGACGTCGAGGAAAGAGGCGAGGACGGGGGGCCAGGCTTCGTGGGGCGTAGGGTTCAGAAAATCGAGTCGAGGGTCCGACCGGAAGGCTGGGTGTCATTCGCGGTCGAAACCATGGAGGCGGGCGTTCTCTTGGTTGAGGAGAAGCGCGGAGCCGATCTTGAGGTCCTGGCGGCCAGCCGCGGAGGAGAGGTTAGCCTCAACCGACTGACGCCTGCCGAGCGCAGCAAGTTTGAAGTGTCAGACGACACCGAGTGGCAAAATATGGCCAACTCGGGTGCTGTGGAGATCATAGCGCCTAGGGAGGCGGGGGTGATTAGGCGAGAGCGACCGGACCGCATCATCACGAGTCGGATGGTTCGACGGTGGAAACCTGTAGAGGGCACGTTTTCCGAACCAACCGCCAAGTCTCGGTGGTGCGTCCACGGACACAAGGATCCGGATACCGGGACGCTATTCGTCTACTCTCCCACCCCCCAGACTTCTTCCATACTTATGTTCATCCAGGTGATGATGAATCTAGGCCACCTAGGGGATATTGCGGACGTGAAGAATGCCTTCTGCCAATCGGATCCTATGAGCCGTGCTCAGGGAGAGATCTACGTGGAACCATGCGAGGGCATCAAGGTTGAAAAGGGGCCTCTCATCAGATTGCTGGTGAACGTCTACGGGTTGGACGATGCCCCCCTGGCCTGGCGCAAAACGATAATAGGGTATCTTAGGACAAAGGGATTCACGCGCAGTCTCCTAGAGCCCTGCTGGTGGATCAGGTACGCATCAGACGGGACCATTCTCAACATGATCCGACTTGAAGTCGACGACTTCTTTATCGCCAGCAATTCAGAGGCGTCCCGAGCCTGGATCCGGGAGACCTTGGTCTCTCGGTTCAAGTTTGGGAAGTACAGGGACTGTCACCGCGGTCCTGTCGAGTGCGCTGGCCGCAGCGTGAGTTTCGGGCCCCAGAAGACGACGATCGACCAGGAAAAGTATATACTGGAGGAGGTGAGGACGATTAGCCTCGAACGGGGTCGACTGGGTCAAAAGTCCTCTCCCCTTACCCAACCCGAGTTCAAAGCCCTCCGTTCCCTGATTTATAAGTTGAACTGGGTCGGTCTTGAATCTCGTCCCGAGGCTGCCGGCACCTCGAGCATCCTTGCTAGTAGGCTGAAGGACGCCACCACGGGGGACGTTGCCATTGCGAATAAGATGGTGAGGCATCTCCGTGCTACGGCCTCGAGAGGCCTTATCATTTGGCGTTTGGACCCGGAACGGATGGCGTTCGTTTTTTTTTCTGATGCGGGGGGTGTAGGAGCCAACGAAGGACTTCTGGACCACCAGGGGCTCCCCGCCGACCCAACTCAGGGGGCTTGGATGGTCTTAGCGACCGATAAGAGCGTGATAGATAACTGTGCTGTTCGCGCGTCCACCCTGGGATGGCGAAGTTCTAAGCTCAGAAGAAAAGTCACGTCTACTCTGGCCGGCGAGACTCAGGCTATCTCGGCGGCAGTGGCGGAAGTAGAGTTTCTCCAGGTCTTGTATAGAGACGTGGTTTTCGGAGATGTGGATGTGTCAGACATGTCCCGGTGTTCAGGTCCGTTTACGACGGTGCTCCGTAGGGACTTCCGACTAGGCGGGCGGGAAGATCAGGTTCACGTGGTGGATGCGAAGAGTATCTACGATACGATGCTGAAGGAAGGGAATGCTAGTGCCCGCGACCGTCGCACGGCGCTTGACTTAGCCGCCGTGTGCCAGGCCCTAGAGGGGGCTCGAGGCTTTATTCGGTGGATCCCGCACGGCCGCATGCCTGTGGACTGTCTCACGAAGGACGACATCAGCAAGGGCAATGCAGCATTGTCCAATTTACTTGCGACAGGCAAGCTAGTTTTGATAGACGAGGCTGGGGAGATATCCCGCAGGAGGAACCAACCGGGGAGTAAGGACCGATCTCAGGCAGCATCTCGGAGGATGTTGGATCAAGACTCCAGGCTCATATCGTGGGCCGATTTCCAGTCCAGCCCAGCGGTGTCGGAGTCAAGAGACCCGGGCCCTCTCTCTTCTCTCCTCCCTCACCGCTCTCTCCCTGATCACTGATTTGCATGTACAGTTGCTGTATCCTGTTTTGGGGTGCTAAACCTAGGAGAAAGTCTCATCCATGTGGAGACGCTCCTGTTTTATCGATATAGGTTTAGCATAATGTTCTTTCCCGTGAAGCCCAACATTCCAGCTCACGGGAGGCCAGGATTGTTCGTACGTGTTCCAGGGAAGGATGTACTGTCGTTGTCACATTCTGGCTCAAGGCCAAAATGCATATGCTCATCCTGCTGCTGCCACAACTACGAGTTCCGCGTATTCCCAATACCTAGAATAAGAATGTCCTTAAGGATCACATCGGCATTTTGTGGCATGAGCAGCCTTTTCCATGCATTTTGACCGTTTTCTGGCGCTACTCACCTTCACCGGCTTGCAGCAGGTTGCGCGCTCTTCCAGGTTTTTTTTTCCGAAGCTTGTTTGTCAGCAGCGTGCGAGCAACCAAGGGTGTATGCAAAACGGTCCCCGACCATCGTCTGTCGCGTTTGCGGTACAAGTCTTGATTCGCGTACATCACAACAACATAAGCGTAATCGTCGATGCACAAACTCTCTATTACGAGCATCCGTTCCTCAACCGACGAGACTAATCAAGGGCGAGTACTTGTCACGGCGCCGATACTCTCCTCCGTTTCTCCTCATCCTTCTCTTCCGACCGTCGCCCCCAGATCCAGTATTGTTTCCCCGGCCCGCTCGAGGTGTACCCGCCTGGGCCGCCAGAGAGCGCCTTCCTGAAAAGCGGCGCGCTGGGGGGCTGGGCCGTCGTCGTCGCCGCCGCTGTCGTCGGCGGGGCTCACCCTCTCATGGGCCCGCGGCGGTGGAGAAGGGGGGAAGGAGAGCCGGCGGATTGGATGTGGGTTCCCGTGGGCGAGTGCGTCCCTTGTCCTCGTTCCCCTCCTCCGGCCCCCCTTCTGATTCCATCCGCTTTCCTCGGGAACTCCTTGTCGCACCCCTGGACGGTCGGTGCGGCGGGCAGGGGTGTTGTGCTTGAGACGTTGTCTCCGCTTTACCACCCGGATTTGCGCATGAGCGTTTTTCAATCCTTGGCGATAGTGGGCGTTATTGGGTGGAGGGAGTGGATATTGTCTGCTTTCGCGCTGGCGCCGTCTGGTAATGCTTCGAAATTGCAAAAGGCTGTCCAGATAGCAGATACCTATACGGATCTGCTACGGCAGAGCGCGCATACCTACGGGCATCGGCTACGGCAAAGCGCTTCCCGTCTCCTTTTCCTCCTATTCCTCCTCGTCGTCATGGTGCAGGTGCTTCACGCAAGGACAGACGAAGGGTGTGGAGGTGGGAAAAGGGAGGGAGGAACACGAAACGATCACAGAGCTGTAATCAAACGTGTCGTTTTGGCCTGCCCCAGCCTGCCTCGCCTTCTCCCTCCTCCCAACTCGCTTTCCATTTGTTTGTCCTTGCGCGAAACACCTTGAAATATAATAAAGAACGCGAGGACGATGCGAGGAGGAACGGTACGACGACGATGACGACGCCAACGCCGACGACGATGACAGGAGGTGGAGGAGGAGGACGGGAATAGGAGGATCTGAAGAAGGAAAGTGTTCTGCCGCAGCAGGTCCTTATAGGTCAGCGCGCTCTGCCGTGGCAGATCCTTATAAGCATCTGCTATTCGAGCTGCCTTTGGCTGTGCCTAAGCATGCCCGAAAGGCGCCAGTGCGAAGTGTGATGGTACCGTGGCGGTGTGGGGGGGCTGAGGCCCGTAACGGCCAGCATCGTACACCAGCGCGATTAACAACGATTTACTGCAACCGTTCGACGGTTGGAGATCGGATGGTTTTCACAATACGGCTCTCGTTTCAGCGCCGATCGCATTGATTTGTACAGTCCGCAGCAGCTTCATGGATGGAGGGCGGGTCGTTTTCAATCTGAGGCTCTCGCCCTGGGGCCGCGCACATGTTTCAAAGTTTGCAGCAGCTTCGCAGCTGGAGGGCGGCTCCTTTTTCCAGAAGGTAGCTATCGCCCCAGCGCGCGCACATCCGCGCTACCTTGCAGCCGTTTCAAGGATGGGTGGTGGTTCCTTTCCAGAATGCGGCTTTCGCCTGAGCGGCACGCACGTTCGTAATTTTCCCAGAGTTTCAAGGGTCCGTATTGCCGGAGTCCCAGGGATTCTGTTTTGGCACGATCTAGGGTTGTCAGGGCGAAACAATAACGTCGACCCGCGGAGTTGAAACCCCATGAATAGTCCTCTGGCATGGTTCAGGGTTGTCAGGACGCAAAAGCCGGTGTTTTGGCACGGTTGAGGGCGTTTGGTCCCTTGTCTTCCATTGGGCCAGTTCCCGCAATGAGCTTTAATTATTGCAGGGGCCTGTGCAGTCGGAATGCTGAGTAAGGGTTTATTGGAACATCGTTTATGCGCTTGGGTTTACGGTGGTCCGCTTCCTCCTCCTGACCTTCTTCCTCCTCCAGCCCTCCCTTCCTTCTTTCCTGCCCACCTTCCTTCTCCTCCACGTCCTGCCCCCCCTCCCTCCTCATCCTCATCCTCCTCCTGCTGCCCATCCTTACCGCGGGCCTGCCGGTGTGCTCTCGGCGGTTTTGCTCGTACAGTGAGCGGCTTGAGTAAGGAACATTTGCTTTTCAAAAGTGGCTCGGGCGTTCCTTAGATGTTGCATGCGTTATTTACAGTTCCTTAATTATGCGTCACTTATTATGTATCGTTCCTTATGCGTTATTCCTTGGGATAAAAAAAGGGGCTTCGTTCCTTATGTTTCGTTCCTTAGGTCAACGCCCCGACTGTATGCTGCTGCTGCTGCTTCCTCGCTCCCCTTTCCCGATCCTCCTCCTCCCCTTGCTTCGTCGCCGCCCCCTCTTTCCCGACGTCGCTGGGGCACGAAGGCCGCAGCGAGGCACCGCATTGCACGGAAGAGGAGGAGGTCCAGGAGAGGAAAAAACACACCGACGCAATTAATCGTCGACTCCCAGAAAGTATGGGGAACTATGGGAAGTGGGGGGGGAGACAGAAACCCAGAACATATATGAAGATATGGAGGATATTTCTACTTGTGTGTATTTAATTTGTGTGTCCCAGTTCCCCTTCAAGGAGGTCCTCCTCCTTCTTTTCTTTTTTCTACACTGGCCAACTTCAGCCACGGAGCTGGAGCGTTCCACGGGTGAAACAAATGCGTGAGGCCGGCAAGCTAGGCGAGGCCAGCGTAGAAGTTTAGATGGGCAGGTCGTGCGAAATAAACAAGCAAAACAGAGGGAAGCCAGAAGGCTCAAAGTATACGCTAGCTTTGCAGTGCTGGTGGTCCTCCTCCTCCTCCTCGTCTTCATCCTTCGCGCCGCCACAGCAGCAACGAGGTGGTCTGCGCCGCCCGTGCGGTTCAGTAGCCCCCCTCGAGTTTCGTCGGTAGCGCAGCGCCGGGCGGCCGCCAACTCTGGACGCCGCCCTAGCGGCGATGTTCGCTTCTCTCCTCCTCGTTCTCCCTTCCTCCCCCCCTTCCCCCTCCTCTGTAGCCGTTTTGGCTCAGGACCAGGATTCCCCCGTTGTACGCAGTGGACACAACTAGTCCGAGACAGGCGAGGCAGTTCTGCCTGGCGGTGGTTGTCGGCCTTCAACGTGCGATCTGGACCCCGACATTTCCTCTCTGCTGGCAGTCTCGCCAGTGGGTGAATTGTGACTTTCCAGTTTGTGGTGGCGCGGCTGCGATGCTTGAAGATGCACGCTCGGGCAAGTAGGATAAGACACAGAAGGGTAAGGTCGAGAAACAAAACTTATCTGGATTATTGTCACACCTTCCAGGCGATCGAGGCGCAGGGTTGTTTCCCCGATCTACTCGCTTCTAACGTCCTCTGTTGGGGCGCCTGTTTTTTTTTCCCGCGCTGCGAGAACTGCTCCTCCTAGCCTGGGGGGGGGGGATCGCTCAGCTGGGTAGCCATGAGGGAGCCGCCGCAGCCTGTGCCTATTGACAAGAGGCTCGACAGGAGGCTCGTCTTGATGCAGGCCCCTCTACCAGATGGATCCCATGGACACTAGCAGCCTGCTGGGTTCGTACCGTCCTCTGTGCCTGGCCACGGCGTCGACCCATGGGCTGTAGCAAATTTCCGCGCATTCCTCGGCGACGTGGAAAAAGACGTGCAGGATCGCGTCGAGGCGATGGTGGTGGTTGCACCCAAGTGCATAGTCGATTCTCGCATGCGTGCCATCCTGGCAGCGTCTGTCCAGCTGGATATCCCGAGGCAGCGGCCCCAGGACCCTGTGGCGCGCACGGGTGGATGGGAACGCACAGTTGATCGCGGCATTCTTCTCCTTCGATCTCTTGCCGACGTCAGATTCGGTGGAGTTATTGTCGGCCTGGTACGTTTGCTGTCGGGCGCTGGCTACGCGATCGGCCAGGAGGTGGAGTTTTTTGGGGAACAGTTTGGCCGTTCCTTTGCCCCCCAGATCAAGTTCGCAGCGGCTGAGAAGCGGGCTGGCCCCGCGCTGACTGCCGTGCGGCTACTTTCGGGTCAGTGGAGGTCTCATCCTGCCATCGATACTAGTGGCCAGCCTATCCCACTCAATTCCTCGTTGGACAGGCACGCGCGACGTCGCGCGTGAGATCGCATGCGAGAGGATTAGGCTTCCTGTTCGTGTTGTTCGCGCACATTGATCAAGACGAGGGGGTTACCCCTGTTTCCCGGAAGCGAGTCTTCACGGTGGAAGTGGCCCCCGCAGAGCGCCCGACCGACAGGTGGACGTTGGGCGTGCTGGCCGAAAGGAATGCGGGATATTTTGCGAACCGGGCCGTTGGATTGTGGGATGTCCAGCGGCGTGGGAAGGAGGAGCTTCGACAAGGTTGACGCGTTTGCGTTCGCGGCCTGGGGCGTCCGATCGCAGGTTCACCACGTGAACGAGGCCATGGCGAACGAGGCCAATGAAGTTGACAAGCTGCCGAACGGCCGCGCCTTAGTTGCCCCGCAGGAGACGCACTTCCCGGCGACGAATGGCGATCTCCACGCGGAGGCATCATTCGCACCGGTTTCTGGATCATCCGCGCCTTGCCGCTTGCGCTGGCGAGCCAGTCACCGTCGCGCCGCGTAGCACGAACGCGCGCGACGCCCCCAAGGCCGCCGCGGCTCCGGGTCGCGCCATGCTGGCCAAGTCGTTGCTGACACGCACGCGTGGGAATATTGGCCCTCGCGCTTCCATGGTGTGGGGGCCTCGGGAACGAGGCTTGTTGTCGAGTTCACAGCGCGTTGCCCGCTCGGCGGCCCGCGAGGAGATGGTCTGCGTGTTTGAGGAGGCTGCGAAGATTGCCGTTTACCAGTGGCTGGCAGACGTTCTTGTCCGTCATGCCGTTGGAGCCCGTCGCGCAGCAGGTCGCGCGGCCCGCGTGCGTCGCTGGCTCCTGAACGCCCAGAGCCGCAGGAGCGCGTTATGATCTGGTGCTCGATGTCGCGCGCCATTGCGCGACGGGATGCTGGAGCGGCCCGCGCTCTCTGCCGTCGGCGCCCTTGGCTTCGGAAGCACGCGCGCTTGGTGTGCGAGGGGCCTGCCTCTGCCACGCGTTGCCGAGATGCTGCTGGCGGGGGAGACCCCCCGGGGATCTCGTGGTCAGCCCGCCCGCCCCTCTTCGAAGCGCCCCCTGGGCCCTCCGCGGACGCGCTTGCAGCTGGCAACCTGCTGGCCGACAGGAGGTCCCTGGGGTCGCCTCGGCAGCCCCGGGGCCCTCCGCCTCGCCCGCTGAGAAATTTTGCAAACTAGCGGGCTCTTGGGCAGTCGAGCTTCGCGCGCCTCGGTAGCGCGCGGCGGTTCGCGGGGCGCTTCGCATTCAGGCGCGCGCGCAAGGATGTCCCGCCGCTGAGATCTGGCCCGGCGAAAATCGCGCGACGCGCGCGCGGCGCGGCCGCTGGGCCCGATGGATTGTCGGTTCGCGGGTGATCGGGCATGGCCCCGCGGCGGCAATGGAAGCGTCGCGGGCGTTCTCCGCCGGAGAAGCGCCCCCCGTCCGTTCCGCGAGTCGCTCGCGGCCATCCTGGCCAAGGGTGGCAAGCCAGGGGGCGCTGAGGAGACAGTGCTCACGCTTGCGGCAGATGAGACTGTGCCCATCGCTCTTAAGACCAACCAACATGTGTCGCATTCGCAATGCGTTACCCGCTGTCTGTCGCCCTATGCAGGATGAGCCTGCTGGCGCAACTCGGCGAAATACCCATGGGGCCCATTATGAGGAACGTCGCGGCGTAGGGCGCAAGGGCGCGCGTCGGCTGGTTCTCGAAGGGCCCCCCGACCAGCGCGGAAGCCAGCCCGCTGCGCGGGTCGCCGCGGACACCGTTGCTCTTCGCATTGGATTCCTCCCAGGCTCGCCCCAGCGCGCCCCGAGCCAGGTCGGTAATGACGTGCCGCTTGATCACCCTCCCGTCGGGAATGATGAGTGCCATCGCTGTCCTCTCTCATATCAAACGTTGCCTGTTTCATGAGGGAGGGGCGCATCTGCCCCTGCTGCCCCGTGCTTGCTCGCGCCCCCCGTGGGCGCCTATTGAGCGGATCGCGTGTCATAGTCGCGCCCAAACACTTCCCGGCCGACTTGGAACTGTCGGTGGAGACCCCGCGCAGACGGCGTCAGAGCGGCGGTGTTCGCCAGAATGGGCCTGCGCAGGCTCGGCGGGAGATCCGCCCTCGCCTCGAAGTTTGCCTCTCCCGCCCTCAAGATCTGTAAATACGAAATCGGGCCACCGCGCGCGGCTGTCTCGTCAGCGGTCGAGAGCTAGGCCTGGGGGTGCTTGTTGGGCAGTGGCGGGGCGCGACAGGGGTTCAACATCGCCTCCGCCCTCGAGCGCCTGCATGTGCTCCTCGGTCCGCCTGTCACCGCCCGCGAGCAGTGGCACGGGCCCTCTTCGGCTGATCTCGCCGCAGCTTTTGTCCGCGATCGCGGGCGTGCGCTGCCAGTGCTCAGGCGTCGTATATAGAGCTCAGCTGCTCGAGATGCCTTGCGACATTGCCATCGACGATCGCCATCGGTTTGTCTTTTCTGCGGCCAGCGGCCATCTCGATTTTGACGTGGGCCGGGGGGGGGCGGGCGGTTGGGAGGTGGGTGGGTCCAGATTGTTTCTGCGCGCTGGGTCATGTGCTATGTGGCGTCGGTGAGAACTGGGCTCGTTTCGCTCCGCGCGCGGCCGCGGCGGCATGACGTTGCTTCAGGGGGCGATCGCAGACTCCGGCGCGCTTGCATGGCGCGGCCCCTCCTGTCTGGCCCACCCCTGCCTTCTGCATCGCGTTCTCGTCCGCCGCGAGGGTGTCGAGGTGATCGGGGTCGCGCGCGCGCAGGAGTGGAACGCCCGGCAGCCGACGCCGCGGCGCGCGCGTCAGGCCGTCCGCGCTGCGAGGGGAGGTTCGCGGAAATATTCCCTGCCCGCCTCTTTAACCTTTCCTTCGCTCTCATGTTCGATCGGCGAGTCAAAAAGTGATTCCGCCCTGGGGCGGAGCTGGGCCTGCGGGCGGGGGCGAGGCGAGGGAAGCGCTTCGTGAGTTGCCATTGGAGCGGTCCTCAGCTTCGCCGGGTGCGCGGCGAGGAGGGCGGGCCACCCCGGCGCGCGTGCCGCCCAGCTGGCACCTGTTTCTGAGAATGCGCACGCGCGTTGACTTCCTGTCGCACAATATCCTGGAGCGCGAGCCCGCCGAGGCCTCGGCGCGCGCTGCGCTGTCAAAGGATATGCCTGCCAATGTCCGGTGGCGGCTCGCATCTATCCCTCAGGCTAGTTGTGAATAGCTAGTCCGTTGTGATGTGGCGCATTTCTACGCCCGTCGCCGCGCCTGGAAATTTGGACGCGCTCGAGTTCGGCCGTGCGCAGTTCGATCGGCGCTCCGTCTTTTCCTTTCCTGGCGTTCACTTAGTAATCTGGGTTCGGCGGCTTGTGATTCATGGATGGACCCCTCTGGGCGCGTTCGAGCTCCTCCTCCTCCTCCTCCTCCTCCTCTTCCTCCTCCTCCTCCTCTATAGGTGGCTCCCCAGCGATGCCCGGCGCTGCAGTTTCGCCCCGCGGCGGGCGCGGCTTGGCCCGCGATCGCGGGGCGCCCCCATCGCCGAGGGAAGGCGCGAAGGCAGGCGCCGCCGACGGCCGAAGGCGAGAGCTCGCGCGCGCCCCCGGCTTGGGAGAGGCGCCCAATCAACGGCCGACGGCGCGCGTGGCGGCGCCTGCGCCTGGCAACGCGCAGGCGAACGGAGCTGGACTTCAGCTGGCTCCTCAGCGCGCAGTGGCAGTCTTGGGAGGCGAAGGTTGGGCCCGACGCCATCCGCTGCAGCGCAGAGATCGGAGCGGGCGAGGCAGCGACGACAGCCGAGGAGCCGCGGCGGGGCCTGCAGTGGACGCAGGATTACGCGGACGAGGCAGAGGAGGCCAGGATGGCCGCGGAGGCGCGATCACTGTCTCTCTGGCGTCCTCGCCTCGATCACTGTCTTGAGAATTGAGCTCCCGCTGCGGCGCAGAGGGTTCGCTCGGCGAGTCCTCGCCGCGCGGGCGGGCGAAAACTGTCACCGTGGCCCCCGGTGCCGTGCAGAGGTCGCCGAAAGGGCTCTCCCGCCTCGGCGGACCTCTCCTCTCGCGATAAAAAAGGTTTTTCTGGGCGCGTCCCCGCGCGAGCGGGCGTGTCTCGTGGTCGTCGCCTGAGCTCGGTGCAGATGACGCGGGCAGTATTGAAATGGCTTCCGGCCAGTGCCGCCGATCCGGGGCGCTTCGGATGATGATGATGATGATGACGATGATGACGATGATGATGCTGATGATGACAATGATGATGATGACGATGATGATGATGATGATGATGATGATGATGATGATGATTATTATGATGATGATGATGGTGATGGTGATGATGTTGATGGTGATGATGTTGATGGTGGTGGTGATGATGATGATGACGATGACGACGGAGGGACACTGGGGGGTCCTTGGGGGCCACTTGGGGGCACGTGGACTGGAGCAAGTTTTTGGCCAGAGCCTTGGACATCAGATGCTAAACGATCCGGCGATGACGAAATGTTCGGCGTCTTGGATCGACCCATGGAGTAATCTGTAGAAGCTCGGTGCTGCCGCACCCGGCGACGTCCACGGTTCCACTATTGCCCGCGATGGGACGCACATCGCTGCGATGCAGCGTGGAATCAATGACAAGGTCCCAAGACACATGTGTGCTTGGATGACCCCTATCCGAGTACCACCGTCCCTCTTTCCTCCACGATGTCGAAACACTCGGAAGTAGTCGAAACACAGTGACTGACAATGTTTGGGCACTGTTGGGGTAGTGTTTTATCGTTCTCTGTAGGATACACGACATGGCAGTTCAGCCTGGGAGACAGCTGGAAAACATCATTCGCCTTCAGAAAATCATGCAGAAATCTGGGTAGTCGAAGGCCAGAAGATTATGCCATATTGGGTGATTTGGGTTATTCGCCAGACTGGACAGAGTTTGGATTTGCCAGATTGGCGCCAGATTGGCTTCGACTACCCTAGCAAGGTCGTCATCGACTGAAGAGTCGAGCGCGCTCGTCCGTGCGCGTGCCCGTGGCGCGTGCCGTGCTGTGCCCGCGCGGCGTGCGCTCTCCGCTGTTCGCCGCGCGCCTCGCAGACCTCCAGTCCGCGGGCGCTCGGGTCTCGGCTATACGGCATCCTCCTCCTCCTGTTAATCATCCATGCCTCCTCCTCCTCCTCCTCCTCCTCCTCCTCCTCCTCCTCCTCCTCCTCCTCCTAGGCAAGAGTGCCTTTGGCCGCGGCATTCCGCGGGGGAGCCAAGCCCAAGCGCGCAGCCGCTGACGTCGCGGCGCGTTCGGCGAGCGGGGGGCTTCTGCCGGCACCGAGGGTCGCTCCTGCGAAGGGCGTTTGATCTAGCCGAGGGTGGGACTGAGAAGGTCCGCTGACTCGTTCGACCCCCCCCCTCTTGCTCTTCCACCTCCCCCTCCTCCTGCCAGCTCCGTCCTCACCCTCCTTGCCTGAGGACCACGCTGGCTGCTGCAGAAGCAGTCCAGGGGATCTGGACTTCTGCAGGCCTCGAGGACGTCTTCGTTTTCGGTGGGCCCTCCTCGACTTGTCCTCCTGGCTGGAGGGAAGGGCAAGCTGGTCGGCGACTGGAGCATTCTCGGTCCGCCTGTGCCTGTCCTCTCTCTCTCTCTCTCTCCCTCTCTTACTTTCTGTGCAGTTCTATCTTTAGTTATCTGGCTTGTACTTCTTTGGTCCGTTGTCATCCAATCTCTCGCTCTCTCTCTTTCTATGCTTCTTTGGGCAGTGTGCCGATGCCGAGGCCCGCATGCAGCTGCGTGGGGGCATGAGGGAGTCCCCCTCTCTCTCCTCACCTTCGTCACGCATGGCTTGGAGGTCAGTGGCAGGTGGTAGCGACGGGCCCGCTTGTGTCTCTGGAGGCCAGGGCTGGAAACGAGGCACAAGGTGCTTGTGCTGTGCGATCTGACCTCGTCCTCTCCCCCGAACTCGTCACCCCTCCTCTTCGCCCTCTTCTTCACCTCCTCTTCGCCCTGCTCCTCGTTATTCGATTCACCCTTCATCAGAGCTCCGTACGGGGCTTCACCTCCCCGCTCAGACCGCCTCTCAATTGCACCCGCTTCTTCCCGTTTTGTTCACCCTCTTCTTCCCCTCCCTCGCTTCCTGTAGGCGGGCGCGGGGGGGGGGCAGCGAATCGCATGCTCCTCGTCGCTGTCCCGCTGGCCTGGTCAGGACTGCCGCGGCCCTTCCGGGACCCGCGTAGCAAGGATGAGCCAACCGCCTAAGTTTACCCTAGCGTCCTCCCTTCCGCTTCAAACGCTTGAGGGCGTGAGCGTGAGGGAGCACCTTTGCACGTTGAGCATGACGGTTGTCACGATGTAGCGCCCTTTGGTGAAGTCACCATCAACTTCGGGTACTTGCTGGCGGCTTTGAAACGCATGCTGGCCTCATGTCTATGCGTACCTCGAGCAGCGGTGATTCGTATTCGTGATCAGTATGGCGTACCTGCTAGCAGCTGTGACACACATGTTGGCACCATTTCTATGCGTACCTCGCGCGCGGTGGTGATGCATCGTGCTCGTGATTCGGGAGGTCAGGGTTGCTGCAGACTGAGTCAGCACAGCGCGTGAGGTGCTGGCGGGAGTGCTGTTGGCCCTGGCTTCTCCGTGAGGCGTTGCGGCACATGTGCTTTCCGATGCCGACAGCCTTGGACACCAGGATTGCTGCTCTGGCGAGGCCCCTGCCGTCCCCTGAGGCTCGCTGGATGTCAGAAAGCGTAGCGGGCAAGCCAGACCGATCATCAAATGTTCGCTGTGGCAGCATTCGGTTGTCCAAGTCAGGCACCGCACGAGCCCGATATACCACCTTGCACTCCCTGTAGGGCCGCGCGCAGGCACCGCGCGAGGCGACGAAATGAAGAGAGGGCCCGGCTGAGATGCCAGGCGGCAGTTGGAAGAAGCGGTCAGGAGGGAATGATGCTGGTGGGGGGATCGGAGAGGAGGAGGAGGATGGAGGAGGGTCGAGGATTGAGGAGAATCGAGGAGGAGGATCGAGGAGGAGGGGTGGTGGAGGGCAGGGGCTGTTGGAGAGGAGGGCGGGCGGGCGATGCAGGCGGCCGGAGGCTTGGCGGATGGGCAAGGCCAGGGGGGCACAAACGCGTTCGCATGCACAGAAAGAAGAGCGCTTGACGAACATCATGCACGCGCAGCACGACGGGAGAACGTGCACTTACTACAGCAAGCAATCAGGCAAGCAACAGTGCATGTAGAAGCCCACGACGGTGCAGCATATGTTTTGCCACACAGTGGCACCACGATGGGCCACTCGCTAGCAGCAGGCGATTTCGATGACATTTACTCACCCACAGTTTCAGAGTGGAATGCAAAACTGGGCGAAGCAGACACCAGCTACACATGGCTAGCCGGTCGCTGCCCAGTAACTAAAGAGCAGGTTGACATAGGAGTTGGTCTTTTCGTGGATGACGTATCACGACACGTTATACATGCATATGCACCCCATGCACGCCACATCATGATGCAGCTGAACCACGCCACGCGCGAGCTCCAGACACACATACAGAAGAACGGCCCCTACTTGAACGCAGATAGACCAACCGCCTCATCTGCGTGCACGGAGCGGGGTCCTTCGAGGCATCCAGGGGCCTAGTTCGTCAAAAACGCGTCCTCGGGGCAGCCTGTCGTGAAGCTCGTGTTCTCGGGCCGATTCTTAGCTTCGACGGGGTGCCCAGGACGGAACTCAAGAACCGCATCAAAGGAGCCCGTGCTGCGTGGAGATCATTCGGAGAGGTATGGAGGCAGCCCCTCCACCACAAGCTGTTTCGCACGCTCTTCTTGTGCTTCGTGCACAGCGCCGCGATCGCGGGCCTCGCAGCCTTCGTACTGCCAGCGGAGTTCACGGATCAGTTAGACTCCGTGCTGGTCCGCATGTTCCGCTACTTGATGCATGGCAAAGCCAAAAACGAGTGCGGGGGCCGAGTCAGGACGATGACAAACAGTGCAGTATTCAGCCATTGGAACATTTGCCGAACCGCGATCGAGCTTAGAGTTCAGCGTCTGAGGTGGTGGCAGCAGATATCCAAGGCCACGCAGAACCACAAACAGGTCCTTGCAGCCATGTTTGGAACGTTGGAAATCGATCGACTTCTCGAGCGCCCGAGACTTACCAGCGGCGGGGAGCTCACAGCGCACAGTACCCCTTGGGCCCATCAGTTCAGAGACGACTTGGAAGGCCTTGCTAAAGCAGATCAGAAGTTTGCGAGTATATGGACTAACAGAAGTAACCTCCTCCAGATCTTTGAAGACCCACAAGCCAGCAAGGAATTCAACGAAATCGGGATAGGTACCCATCGAGACCTCCATGGCCCCGCCCCGATGGCGCCCGACGAGCAGCCCGACCACAGAGCGACGATGGAGAAGCGGACGACGACAGCAGCATTACAGACGAGTACGTGTGCACGCGCGAGATGGGGGAGGAGGGCGAGGGCAGAAGCTGCGGAATGACATTCACGACGGTCAAGGCACTCACGGCGCACATCACGCACGCGCACCACCTGCGCAACCTGCACTCCATGATCATCAGCACGAACGTGTGTCCATGGTGTCGTACAGCATTTGCGAGCAGAGCATCATGTTTGCGACGCGTCATCACCATGTCGAGACCGCACCCGCTGCGTTGCCCCACTCGAGCCACTTCATTTGTATTCGAGCCCGAACAGCGGGATGTGTACACGTGCGGCTACTGCTGCCGCGAGGACACGAGCATTGAGGAACACTTCAGCCACGTCTCTGCTCATTGTTCTGGCCCTAGCGATGTCGTGGAGAGCCGCCGCGGGAGGAAGCAGGCCACGCAGTCAGGCGGCGGAGGCCGCCGCTGCGACCCTGGCGCCGCGCCAGAAGCAGCCGCGTGGAGGGCCGAAGGAGGCCGTTGGCAAAGAGAGTGGCCCAGGCGACCACAACGACGAAGAGATCATGCCGATGCAGAAGCTGACGCTCGACAACGCGCAGATGATCAGGCAGCTGTCAGGCAGCCTCTGGGACTTCTTCCTGATCCCAGGAGAGCACTCAGCAGTGGCCGCCGCGGTGGCAGCGGGCACAACCTACGCGGAGCAGGCCAAGGAGAAGAACAACAAGGACCTGGGGCCCCCGCACCTCCACATCGGCGTCGACTTCTTTTTGGAGATGGGGCTCAACGACAAAGCCGAGGGGGCCAACAAGACGATCCTGACGGAGTTCCGCACGCTGATCGACGTGCTGGGCATGCAGGGCTTTGGGGGCATCGTCTCCTATTTCAAAGTCAAGAAGGCCTACAGCGAGGCGGGACAGCCAGAGAAATGAAAGCTTTACATCATGCTCAACAGCCTCGCCTGCAGCCCGTGGGCAGCAACCGGGGAGGACCAGATCAACGCCATCCGAGAAGGAAATCAGGGGCCGCACGTCAAGATCAGCCGCACCACGCAGATCGGGGACCTCAGGAAAGCCATCGTGGACACACTGCGTGCGGCAGGGGCAGAGCAGATATTCGGAGCACCGCCGCCATCAGGTCTCGAGAGGAAAGTGCAGGCAGCGCTGCGGGCGCGGCAACTGGCGATGGAGGGATAGAGATGGCATGACTGAGAGAGCTCGCCAGGGCAGGCAGCCGCAGGGCGATGGAGCTGCTGCGGCGCATGGCCCGCCCGTGACGCCCCCGCGTGCTTTGAAATCGAGGGGTCTGGGAGATTTGTAAGCTAGGCGCCAAAGGGTGCCCTGTTTCCTTTTCCTTTCCACTCTGCCTGTTGCAGAGGCCTGTCGTGAAGGTCCCCAGTGGATCACGGGAAAAATAACGACAATGCGAGCAGCAGTACTAGCGGGTCTGGGGGGAGCGGGCGAGTGGGGAGTGGGGGGGTAGGAAGACCTCCTCTAACATTTTTTTTTAAACGGGACGGCCCCGCGCTGCAGCGGGCCGAGAGGCTAAAAAGCCAAAGGTCTCCTGCGGCGGCCCGCCGAATCGCCCATTTACCGCGCTAGCAGCCTGGGGGGCCATACAATAGAACCCCAGAGAGCTTCCAAGGCTTCCGACTCCGACCCGACTCCGACTCCTCTCCTCTTCATCTCGAGCGGCATCTCGGAGCCCAGAGATGCGAGGATGTCTCCAGCGTAACGGGCTGGACCACCTCGCGCGCGGCATTTCGGACCCCAGAGTTGCGACGATGTCTCGGGCGAAACGTGCTGCGAGGAAGTCTCAGGCGAAACGGGCCGGACCACCTCGATTGCTATTTCTCAGAGCTTGCTTGGGCTGCGAATTGCGGCCTGTGCCACTTTGGCGGCTCTGGGTTCTAGACTAGTGCTGTCCTGCACAGACCTGGTTGACCTCGCAGTTTTTCATCGGAAATCTTTCCACTGGTCTCATTTCAGAGGTGGGGGAGGCCCAGCCCACATGGGTCATCCCAAAGCTAAGTTTGGCTTCCCATCCCGGGGGATGGAACTGCGACGCTGTCTTGACTATCTCTGAAGCCCTGGGGGCAGGCAGAGGGAGCCTGCAGACCTCGTGGATCCCCCACAAATACCAGCTGGGAACCTGAAGCTCCGCCGCTCTAGGGGGTCCAGCTGGCGCCCCTACCCTTACCAGAATATGATTCGGGCCTCTTGTGGGCCCCGACTTTCGACCTGTCGCCTCCTGCGGGGAGAGGGGTGAGTTTCGGCGGGCTTGTGCGAAAAAGCGGGAGGACCTCGAAGGTTTTTTTGTGACAGAGACTGCGAGGACAAGAGGTCCAATGGTGGCGGGCAGGATTTTTACTCGCAGAGGAGGAGAAAGGAGAAGGGAGGAGCAGGAGGACGAGGAGGACCACCTCGCGGAGGAGGAGGAGACCCCCCATTTCGACGATGTCTCGAAGAAACTCACGCACGAAGCCGTCGAAGGTGCACACGGGCAAGGGACGCTCGAGCGATATGGGAGGAGGGAGCTCGAGCTTGAAATGTTGTCTCCGGCTTTGGTGGGCTTCACTGAAGCTCAGCCTGCAGCTTCAACTGGGCTCCTCCTTTGGGTCGGGCCTGTCCCTCTACCAGGAGGGGTGAAGCTAGTCTTGGAGCTCCCAGGGGGGGATATTGTTGTGGCCGTTGGGGCGCCCATTGGGGGTACCAGAGCAGCTCTTTATAACTAGCTTTCGCTGCCACGTCTTCCATTTCTCTTCTTTGTGGCTCCCTGGCCCCGAGGCCGGCCGAAAAGTCGGGCCTGGCGGTTCGTTGATGTCCCACCATTTTGATCCGCAGCCTGCTCTGAGCAGGCGGATGGAGTGGGTCCGCCTTCAGAATCTTGGCGCTCGCCGGCGCCGCGCGACGTGCTTACAGACATCTGCGGAGCGTCACGGACGAGGATGACCTTTGAATGTCTCAGCGAAACGGCCCAGACCATCAAATTGTTGTGAGGATGTCTCTGCTCCGATTTCCCTCGGCCGGAGCCAGCTTCTATCACAACAGCACCCCGTTCAGCAAGTTGTTTGGGGAAAAACACCCAGCAGCATCGACAGCATTAGCACAACACACCGACCACCCACCACCAACAGCAGCAACAAAATACAGACAGTACCGACTCAGTCCTGACCGCAAACACCGACCACAACCGAAAACAGGACCACCAGCAACAATCATTACTGACCACTACCAGCCAATCGCATCGACCACCACAAACCACCACCGACCACCAGCATAGAACACTGGCCATCAACGCTGACCACAGCACAAGCACCGACCACCAGCACTAACCACCAATAGGCAACACCGACCAGAAGCACACTCCTGAAACTCGTCGTCCTCATCTTCGATTTGCCTCGGGTCGTGTACCATTTCGCCCATGCCTTCTATTTGTGCAGCAGCTCTTTATAACTATTTCGCCCACGTCTTCCATTTCTCTTCTTTGTAACGAGCTCCCTGTCGCACCCCGAGGCCGGCCGAAAAGTCGGGCCTGGCGTTTCGCCTGAGATGTCCTCACCATTTATGATCCTGAAGCCTGAAATCTGCAGCAGTTTCTGGGATGGAGTGGGTCCGCCTTCAGAATGTGGCTCTCGCCCGAGCGCCGCGCGCATTCGTGCTTACACATTGCAAGAGCTTCACGGATGGAGGATGACCTGCCTTCAACATGTGGTTCTCGCTTCAGCGCCGCGCACATTCGTTTTAACAACGTGTAAGAGCTGCACAGATGGAGGGTGGTTCTTTTGCAACATGGGGCTCTCGCTGCATCGCCGCGCACAGATTCTTATGGCTCACGTCCCCGAAATGGTGTTTGGCACGATGTCGGAATGCCAGGCCGCTGCAGTTACTTCCATTCGCGGTGTTGAAGTCCCTGGAACGGTGTTCTGGCGCAGTTCTGGATTTTCAAACAGTTGTCTTCCAAATGAGGCACTTCCCTCCGTGAAAATGAGTTCTTGTATGGGGCCCCTGAAAGGGAACCTGGAGGGAGTTGTTTTGTTTTAGTGCAGTATCTTTGATGATTCTTGAGTGTACAATGGTCCTCCTCCTCCACAGTCAAACAATACCAATGCTACTCTCCCTCCTTCCTGAAGTTGTCTGGAAGATCTCCCGCCCCCTCAACGTGTACAGGATTTCAAAAGCTGTTGTTTCTCATTCGGTTTTGCAATCTAGTTGTTTTCGGTGTTTCAAAGTGGCGCTCCCGCTGCAAAGTGAGCCTTATTTTCGGATCGGCGCTTTGCTCCCGTTGTTCAGAATTGCGTTCTCGCCCCAGCGCGGGCCACTTTTCCAGATCCGAGTCTTGCTTGATTCATGGTGCCCCCCCCGTTATTTTTCCTTCTGCGCCTTCTCCTGGTCGTCCTGTTCCTCCCGCTCCTTCCACTAAAGTTCCTGCTTCTGCTGTTTGTCTCGTCCCAGTGCGGGCCACTTTTCTGACTCCGTGTCGTTCCTCTTCGTTGTCGCTCCCTTATTTCCCCTCCTCCGCCTTCCCTGGGTCCACATTTTCCTTCCTATCATCCCGCTTTATCCGTAAGGGCTTCCCCCCCGGCACCCCTCTCTTATAATGGGACTTGCCAGAGCTGTGCTGGGATGCCTGGACGCTGACGTGAAGCAATGTCGGGACTTCACGCGAGGGCCAATATTGATTTACGAGGGTTTATGGCTTCGGTCGCGCGAATTTTAGGTCATTTAAAAAGGTTTATGGCTTCGTGGACGCGAATATAGGTAATATACCAGGGTTTGTGGCCTCGGGGACGCCAATATTGTATAATGTACAAGGGTTGATGACCTTGGGGGCGCAAACATGGTGTAATTTACGAGGGTTTATGGCTTCGGGGACGCGGATATCATGTAATTTGCGAGGGGTGGCTTAGGGGACGCAAGAATGGTGTAATTTTTTACGCTTCGCGTATCCCCACCAGCCCATCTCACAACAGCAATTCTTGCGAAGCATGCCGACAGTCGTGTTTTTCAGGCGTGTGCCCGCTTGGCCCCGCATATCTCCCCTGTTCCTCCTTCCTCCCGCCTCCTTGTACATCCTCCTTGTGGGGGGAGCGGGAGAAGGACGAGGCGGAGGAGCAGGGAGAGAAAGCGCTCCTCGTGATTTGAGTCGTTTGGGGTTTCTCGTCCTGGTGTGAGTCGTTCGGGCCCTTCTTCCTGGTGTGAGTCGTTCGGGCTCTTCGTGGTGTGAGTCGTTCGGGCTCTTCGTCCTGGTGTGAGTCGTTCGGGCTTCTCGTGGTGTGAGTTGTTCGGGCCCCTCGTCCTGGTGTGAGTCGTTCGGGCCCCTCCTCCTGGTGTGACTCGTTCGGGCTCCTCGTGGTGTGAGTCGTTCGGGGCCCTCGTCGTGGTGTGAGTCGTTCGGGCTCCTCGTGGTGTGAGTCGTTCGGGCGCCTCGTCCTGGTGTGAGTCGTTCGGGCCCCTCCTTCTGGTGTGAGTCGTTCGGGCTCTTCGTGGTGTGAGTCGTTCGGGCCCCTCGTCCTGGTGTGAGTCGTTCGGGCTCCTCGTGGCGTGAGGCGTTCGGGCACCTCGTCCCCTTTTGGGGCGTCTTGGGGGCCTCTTGGCGGCCCCAGGGGCTTCTAGGAGCGTCTTGGGTGCCTTGGGGGAGCCTCTTCGGGCCTCTTGGGAGCCTCTTGGAGGCCGTTTGGGGCGTCTTGGGGGCCTCTTGGCGGCCCCAGGGGCTTCCAGGAGCGTCTTGGGTGCCTCGGGGGAGCCTCTTGGGGCCTCTTGGGTGCCTCTTGGGGGCATCTTGGGGGCCTCTTGGAGGCCTCTTGGGGGCCTCCTGGGGGCCTCTTGGGGCCATCTTGGGGCCTCTTGGTGCCTCCTGGGCGCTTCTTGGGGCCATCTTGGAGGGAATCGATCAAAGAAGAGGGGAGCTTTAATGAGCGCTGCCCCCTCAGAAGGGCAACATGAGCCCAAAACCTTCGTAAAATCAATGATTCTGCCTGGAAAGGAGAGGGGAGCTTTAATGAGCGCTGCCCCCTCAGAAGGCGAAAATGGGGCCCAAACCGTAGTAAAATCAATGATTTTGGCTTCAAAGAAGAGGAGAGGGTTTTTTCTCCCTCCCCCCGTCGGGGCCAGAATCCTCGTGAGGGGTGTAGTTTTTTAGCCCTCCCAGGAGTCGAAAATGACTCCCCTGACGACCCGCGGAGGGACCTCTCCAGGCCCAGGGGAGGGGGTAGGGGGAGGGGTAAACCCCTCCCCGAAGGGGAAGAAGGGGGGTTGAGAACAGAGCGGGCTCTCTAAACCACTCACGCCCAAAGGGCTGGTGGGATTTACGAGGGTTTGTGGCCCCGGGTGCGCGATTATTGTATAATATTCGAAAAGTTTATGGTTTCGGGGGCGCGGATATTCCATACTTTACGACGGTTTATGGGTTCGGGAGCGCGAATCGGAAGTAAATGTAAGCAGGTTTTTGGTATCGGGGACGCGAATTACGGTTTCGGGGACGCCATCATTGCACAATTTACGAAAGTTAATGGCCTCGGGGACGCGAATTTGGCGTAATTTACTAGGGATGGCCTCGGGGACGCGAATATCATATACTTTTAGGTGTCCCACGACCCCCCAGGAATGCCGACAACGCGATTCGGGGACGCTCGCCAGGACACTTTTCTGGCTCCCCTCCCTCGCGCGTCCAGCAACAATTAAGAGTAAGGAAGCAGAAAGCAGGACTGTAACAGCGGAAACTGGAAACTGCAACTGGTACAGGGAGCCGCAAGCCTAATCTTCGCAGCCTGATGGCCCCGCAAGGGGGCCGGCGGAGTTTCTTCTGCTGCTTTTTGTCCTCATGCTTGTCCTCATTGTCATCCTTCTGATTACCCGCCACCACCTTCTCATCCTGTGCATGCAGCTCCCCTCTTCCCAACTGCGCATGAGTGGTCTTCCGGTGAGAGTCCCTGGTCGGCTAGGACACGCGTCTGTGGATAATGAGGAATCAACGCCTTGGGGAGGGATGGGAGGGAGGGATAGGATAACAGATGTGAAGCGAGCACGCCTACTAGCTTCTCCTCCTCCCCCTCGTCCTCCCCCGTCCCCTCCTGCTCTGTCGCGCGCCCCTCCGCCCAGGGTGCACAGCGGCGGGGAGTGGGGGGCTGGCTGGCTGGCGTGGTTGCAGCCGCGTCTCGCGAAAGCTCGCTGGACATCTCGAGCGCCCTCCCGAGCTCGAGCCGGGGGGCGAGGATGCGGACGAGCTGGCTGGCTTGAGGCAGGAGACGGCGAGGAGCACATCGGGCCTGGGATCGGGATGACTCGCTTTGGAGCCTCCTGGAACGCTCTCAGAGCGTCCCGGAACGCTCCGAGAAGGCGGCGGGGCCTCAGAACCGACAGATCCCAGATATTCCTGATATACAGTCGAGATGCTGGAGTAAGGGGATGCCTGTGGGTCCGGAGGGGCTCGGTTTTTCGCGCCGTTCCTCAGATCTGGCTCGGGGAACCTACTGGTGGCCCAGGCTCGCCGTGGCCAGAAGCGCCCCTTCGCTTTTGATTCTTGGGCTTACGCCGCACCGCCGACCCCTTGGGGGGGCTCGCGGCGCGTCGCCTTCGCTCATGGTGTCGGTGTCGGTGCCTTTGGGAGCCCGTTTTGAAGCATATTTTGTGCCTCAGAGGTGTCTCTTTCGGCCTCGTGTGCGCCTCTTGGTGGCCTCTTGGTGCCTCTTAGAGGGCTCTTGGTGCTTCCTGTGGCGTTGTGTGGCTCTTTTGGGCCGTCTTGGCCGCCTCTTGGGCTGTCTTGGGCCGAGGAGCAAAAAGCGGAGAGGGTGGAAGGTGAGGTGGTGGAGGGAAGATGACACAGAAAGCTGAGGGGGGGGGGGGGGAAGACGGGGCGACAGACGAGGGCGAAAAACAGCAGGCAAGCACGACGCGAAAGACGAGGGCGGCGACGGAAGGGCGCCATCGTGAAAATCTTCTTCGAGGCCTACGAGAGGCAGTTTGGAGGATTCTGGGGAGCTGTTTTGGGGCCTCTTGGGGTCTCTTTTGAGCTTCTTGGGGGCCTCATGGGGCCTCTTGGGGCCTCCTGGTTGCCTTTTGGGCCGGAGAGGTAGAAATTTAGGTTCGTGGTCTCCGTCTGGAGCCTGTCTTGGGCCCCTCTTGGGGCCCTCTTGGGCTGTCTTGAGGCCATATTGGGCCGTCCTGACGCTCTCTTGAGCCGTCTTGGGGCCCACTTGGGGGCCTCTTCGGTCGTTTTGGGGCCGTCTTCGGGGCCTCCTGCGCCGTCTTGGAGCGTCGGAAAACACAAAAAAGCTAGAAGGCCAAAAACCTCGAAAAAACTAATGACAATCAGCGATGTTGGCCTCTTGGAGCCCTCTTGGGAGGCCTCTTGGAAGCCTCTTGGAGCGTCTTGGCGGCATCTTGGGCCGTCTGGAGGCCATCTTGAGCGTCTCGGGGCCTCTTGGACCGTCTTGGGAGCTTCTTGGGAGCCTCTTGGCTGGTTTTCGGCGCCCCCAGCAGACTCTCTGGAGCGGTTGACCCCCCCCGGGCCGCGCCAGGGAATCCGGCCGGGCCCCCCCCCCCCCTCCAAATCGACCGGACCAGGCTCCCGGGGGAGGGGTTTGGGGAGGGGGAAGAATCTGACACGCCGATGATCCTCAAGGGGTCGGCGGATTCTTGCGCTCAGTCTGGTAGCACGCTGACCGCATCCCCATCCAGGGCTCTCCCGGTCCTGGCTTTGTTTTGAGATGTGCTGGCCCTACTCGGCGCACAGGAACCCGACACCAACACCAAGAAGCCACTAGAAAAGAAAACATTGCAGCCTCTGTTGAATGCCGTCGCCCGTGTCTTCGGGTTCGCGTGTCCAGAGTTGATGAATGCCAGCTCTGAGCGCGTGGGAACATAACGGGCCGTCTCCAGTTCCCCAAGTGAGCGTTAGGATTTCCATGGGCCGCGCGAGTCCCGCGGGCCGTGCGAACCCAGCCAGCCCCATGAACCCCACAAGTTCCACAAAGGGCTTCATGGGCCGAACGTGCGCCGCAGCGCGCACGCTGGCCCAGCATGCCGCGCGGGCACCATTGGCTCCCTGACTCGTCAGGGCCACATCTGGTTTCTGAGCCTTGGAAACCCCGCGGGCCATGGGAGCCCCGTGGGCCTCAGGGGCGCCATGAGCCGCATGGGACGTTTCCCTATCATGGAAGCACCGTGGCTTGCAAAGTCGGAGAGCAACGCGAGCCATCTCAAGCTTTCTTGGCTTCGTTGGGTCGCTCAGCCCCCACAGGGAAAGCGCTCCGAACTTTTCCAGTGGCGTCTTGGTGCTGGTGCCGGCTTTTTGTTCCCTGCAACATCAAAAAGCCGACACCAGCACCAAGACCCCCACTGGAACGGCGGCCCCATGTGCGAGCTGAACCCCTCGACGATTTCGGAAGGTTGCCACGGGCTGCGGGCTTGGGTCAAGAGGGGGCCACGGTCTTATGCCCAGGCCGCGACGGGCGGCCACCGCCCCCTTTCGCAGAGAGCGGCGGATTCGAACTCGTCGGGCCTTGGTGTCGGGCCAGACGAGGATCAGGGATGCGACGCGGGCGGACATAGGGTGGGTGAGGGGTGGGGGGAATGAGAGGGGGGCGGGCGGGCGGGGGTAGGCGTGGTGGAGGGCGGCGGTGGGGGGAGTGAAGCTTCAGCCATGGGGGATGCCGCAGCCTTCCTTCTTCTCTCCCTCTTCTCCCGAGAGCGCCCGCTAGTTTCGCTTCTCGCTTGCACTTGTTATTTCCTGCTTTCCCTCCTGCGTGCTGCGCGACGTCTCCCTTCCCCCGTCCTCCTCGCCCACTCTGCGATTCCTCAGGCCAGGGCTGGCTCGCGCTGGTCCAAAACGCAATTCGACATTTCGTGAATCAAATACTTTCTTGGTGCTGGTGTCGGCTTTTTGTTCTCCCACCTACCCCTCTGCAGCCGGCGCAGGCGGCGGCCTGCGGCGGGCCAGGCGACGGAGCCGCGGCCGAGCAGCTGCCGAGGCTGCGGGCTTGGCCCCTCCCTACCTGGGTCGGACGGCATGCAGCGGCATCGGATCGGCACACTCCGAACACGGTTTGGGGACCTGTTTTTTTATCCCCTCCGGACGACGGCGGCCGTCAGCGGGGGGTGGAGGGGGCCGATGACGTCACGTTTCGCGCCGGCGGCGTCCGGGAATGCCTTGGAATGACAGGGAACGGGTAGCAGCAGCATGCAGGCAGCGACCTGCACCACAGCGCTTTTGTACAGCACACTGCCTGCGTGCACCACAGCGCCTGTGTACACCACACCGCGTATGTGCACCACAGCAGCCGCGTGCAACGCATCGCCAGTGTTTGCCACAGTGCCTGCGTTCACCACAGCGCTTATGTACACCACGGCGTTTGTGTGCACCACGGCAACCGTGTGCAAGAAAACACCATTGTTGTACACATGTTATTTTAGACGGAATCCTTGATGACAACATGGAACGCCTGTTGATTTCACAGATGGGATTGGGAAAATGATATGTAAGATTGGGAAAATAATCTTTATGGAAAAAGGAACGAGTCTTTCCGAGTCCTCATGCATCATCCTAACTCCAATCTGCGACCAGACGGCTCCCGCTGAATTGGCCGTCGGAGAACCAACTGGACTGATTCAATCGATTGTTCTGCGGTGCGCGCTGAGATGCGCACGTGCGCTGTAGCGCCGACCCGCACGATGGGGGGAAGTGTGACGGAGGAGGAGGAAAAGGCGGAGGAGGAGGAGGAGGAGGAGGAAAAGGCGGAGGAGGTGGAGGAGGAGGAGGAGGAGGACTTAGGAGGAGGAGAGGAGGAGGAGGAGGAGGAGGAGGAGGAGGAGGAGGAGGAGTAGGAAGAGGAGGAGGAGTAGGAGGAGGAGTAGAGAGATGAGGAGGAGGTGGTTGTGGTGGTGGAGGAGGAGGAGGAGGAGGGGAGGAGGAGGAGGAGGAGGAGGAAAAGGAGGAGGAGGAGGGAGGAAGGAGGAGGAGGAGAGGAGGAGGAGGAGGAGGAGGATGAGGAGGAGGAGGAGGAGGAGGAGGCGGAGGAGGAGGAGGAGGAGGAACAGGAGATGGAGAGGGGAGGAGGGAAGAACATCGCCTTCTACTATCAGCATTTCCGTGGCGTGGTGTTTAGGTGCCAGCATCAGATCCTCACTTCATTTTCTTTCTACCTGTCCTGTGCACGCAGGCGTTGTGGTGTACACCAGCCCTGCGTTGCATTCGGATGCTGTGGTGTGCACAAGCGCTGTGGTGTGCACAAACGCTGTGATGCACTCGATCATTGTGACGGACAGAGGCTCTGTGTTGCACATGGTCGCTGTGGTGTACACATTCGCTGTGGTGTACACAGGCGGTGTGGTGCACGCAAGCAGTGTGGCGTACACAGGTGCTGTGTTGCACACGGCTGTTGCGGTGTACGCAAGCGCTGTGGTGTCCATGCGCGCTCTGGTGTACGGGAGCACTGTGGTTTACACAGGCGGTGTGTTGCACACGGGTGCTGCGGTTTTCACATTCGCTGTGGTGTGCACAGGCGATGTGGTGCAAGCAAGCACTGTGGTGTACACAGGCGCTGCGTTGCACGCGGCTGCTGCGGTGCACACAGGCACTGTGGTGTACACGCGCGTTGTGGTGCACGCGCGCATTGTGTTGTACACAGGTGTTGTGGTGCAGACCGCCACCTGCATGCTGTTCCTACTTGGCCTCGGTCATCCTTGGAACGTGATGTCATCTGGGGGTGGGGGGGCGTCCCGATGGCGGCCCGAGGACAGTCTGTTGCGCGGTCGCGGCGCCGCGCGCGGCGACGAGGCGGAGCGTGGCGTGCAGTGGGACCGACCGAGCTTGCGCGGCCAGGCCCTCAGACGCGGGACCATGTGGATCGACCGGGCATACCACCCGTGTAGGGCGGGGGGTGACAAGATTGAGACAGCGTCCGAAGACGGAGATGGCTCCGTACACGTATACAGAACCTTCCTCGCTTTGGTGCGTTTAGTTGAATTATACCGGACGCGTATATATATATATATATATATACACATGTAGTTTATACGTACACGCTCGCACGAGAGCGCGCGGGAGCGCCCAAGAGCATCCAGAACTCTGGGCTCACCCCAGAGTTCTGGGCTGAGCAGTATTCAACATAGAGAGTTCAAGGGGTTCTGAGGATACTCCCTTTCGTGCCTCGGGGCACGATGGCGGTCGTCGCTGTGGAGGGAGAGGAGTGACGGCCCGTTCCGTGGTCGAGTGATTCAGGATTGGGCACAAAGTTGTCGTGGGCGCCGAGGACGTCTTGTGTGGACGCAGCACATCTTCAGCGCAGCACTACGCCCGGGACACAAGGCGGGCCCCACTCCAGGCTGTGCATGGTTCGTTGCGTCTCGTTGCCCTCGTGCGTGGTGCGGCTTGCAGCAAAGAGTTTTGGATCGTGCGACCCGTCGCCACTGCTGGCGTCCGTGTGTCGAGAGGCGCGCAAGCATCGGTTAAGTCATGTGTGCTTCGTTTCCGTTCGTGGCATTCAGCTGTGGGGTTTGCAGAAGGGGGGCTCGATGCTGTGTGTCCGTTGACCTCACGGCCCTCGTAGAAAGGGTGGGCTCCCAAGTTCGTTCGTGTAAAACTCGTGTGGCCCGTCGTTCCTATCACGCCTTGGGAGGGTTACAGCCATAGGTTCGATCGTGCCTGGCGGAGTGGCGCTCTTGCTTGGGGTGGTTTGCACCTTGTGATTTACAGAGACGCTGTCAGCGGCAAGTCAAAATCGTTGCGTTCCCCTCCGCCCCTCGAGGTTGCCCGTGGTGCCATGTGGCTGCGGGTGGCCTGGTACAGGGATTCGAGTGATCGTGTCCGCGTGACCCCCGGCTCTTGCTAAAGAAACTTCGGCCGAACCGTGCCAGGACACTCGTGATCTCACGGCGCTTCGCCCGCGGCTCGTGGCCCGGAGACTCCAGAATTTGGTCCGCGGCCTCAGCTCGTCGTCCGCGTGCGCGGCCCATGGCACCTGACCCTGTTTTCATGATCGGGGGTGTCCCTGCCAAGATGCGGAAAGAACGACCAATGCGTTCTCGGGAGGGGCCCTGGTTTGCGTGCCGCTCGGGAGATTTAGGGGTCAGGGAACACCTGCTGGGTGGCTCGGGATCGCCGTGGCCAAAAAGGCCCCTTTGTTCCCTGCTCTGCGCTCGATGACCGTACCGCTTGTTCGAGGAGGAGGAGGAGGAGGAGGAGGATGGAGGAGGAGGACCGGAGGAGGAGGAGGAGGAGGAGAGGAGGAGGAGGAGGAGGAGGAGGAGGAGGAGGAGGAGGAGGAGGAGGAGGAGGAGGAGGACGAGGAGGACCGAGGAGGACGAGGAGGACCGAGAAGGAGGAGGAGGAGGAGGAGGAGGATGAGGCGGAGAAGGAGGAGGTACCGCTTGCTCGAAGGGTTGCCGCCTCCGCCCCGGGCCGCCCAGGCTGCTCGGCCGCGCGGCCGCGGCCCTGCCGTTCGTGCCGCCGCGCTCCGAGGCCCGGGGGGGCCGGCTCTGGCGGATCCGCCCCTTTCGGCCACGCGTGCGTCGGGGGAGGAAGAGGCGCCCATATCTCCACACATTGTTCATTTCTAATGATTCGAAAATATTGTGATTTTGTGGGGGGCCAAGATCCTTTCATTTCTAATTGTTCTATCCTGGGCCTCTTCCTGGCCACCAAGGGGCCAGGAACCATTAGAAACGAGCACAATTAGAAATGAGCACGATTAGAAATGAACGACGTGCACCCTTCGCTCGTTTTTTCTTCCTTTTCTGGCCTCCTTGAAGGCCCTCGTCGCCACCGCTGGATTCGCCCCGAAGTCCTGGTCAGAGCGCACCCCGGGAGAGGTCCGGGGAGCAGCGGTATCGGTACCTCTTGGTTTCTCCAGTGCGAGTAGCCCTTCGCAATAGTGAGCTGTGGTGCGCCCCCCCTCACTCCAACTCAGCAGCGCGTAGGCGGGGGTGGGGGGACGGGGGGCTTGGGGCTCTCGTGAGCGTCTTGGGGCTCTCTTGAAGCCCTGTTTTGGACCCTTTTGGTGCGATCTGGGGGACCTCTTGGGCCGTCTGGAGGCGTCGGGAACCGAAAAGAGAGAACCGCCCACATCTGCCCAACACCTGAGGACAATCTGTGGATTTTACGTCTTGGAGCCCTCTTGGGAGTGTCTTTGGAGCCTCTTGGGGCGTCCCGGGGCCCTCCTGGGGGCTCCTTATGGCCGAGGGCTCGAAAAGTTGTTTCGTGTTTTCTCCCCCTGGGGCCTTCCTTGGGGCGCTCTTGGGGCCTTCTGGGGCCGTCTTGGAGCCGTCTTGGGCGGTACTGGAGCCCTCTTGAGCCGTCTTGGGGCTATCTGGACGCCTTGTTGAACCCTCTTGGTGCGATCTGGGGGTCCTCTTGGGCCAGCTGGAGGCGTCAGGAACCGAAAAGGGGGAAACGCCCAAATCTGTCCAACACTTTTCGGAACATCTGTAATTTTTGCCTTTGGGAGCCCTTTTGGAAGTATTTTTGGAGCCTCTTGGGGCGTCCGGGGGCCCTCCTGGGGGCTCCTTATGGCCGAGGGCTTGAAAAGTTGTTTCGTGTTCTCCCCGGGGCTTCTTGGGGCCTTCTGGGGCCGTCTTGGAGTCGTCCTGGGAGGTCCTGGTGCCCTCTTGAGCCTTCTTGGGGTTCTTTGGAAGCCTTGTTGGACCCTCTTGGTGCGATCTGGGGGACCAATTGGGCCGTCTGGAGGCGTCAGGAGCCGAAAAGGGGGAAACGCCCACATCTGCCCATATCCTTAGGAACATCCGTGAATTTTAACTCTTGGGGCCCTCTTGGGAGTGTCTTTGGAGACTCTTGGGGCGTCCGGGGGCCCTCCTGGGAGCTCCTTATGGCCGAGGTCTCGACATGTGGTTTCGTGTTCTCCCTCTCGTGCTTGGGGCCTTCTGGGGCCCCCTTGGAGCCGTCTTAGGGCTCTCTTGAAGCCTTGTTGGCCCCCTTGGTGCGATCTGGGGGTACTCTTGGGCCGTCTGGAGGCATCAGGAACCGAAAAGGGGGACACGCCCACATCTGCCCAACACCTTAGGAACATCCGTGAATTTTACCTTTTGGAGCCCTCTTGGGAGTGCTTTTGGAGCCTCTTGGGGCGTCCTGGGGCTCTCCTGGGAGCTCCTTATGGCCGAGGGCTCGACATGTTGTTTCGTGTTCTCCCTCTGGGGTCTCTCTTGGAGCGTTCTTGGGGCCTTCTGGGGCCGTCTTGGAGTCGTCCTGGGCGGTCCTGGTGCCCTCTTGAGCCGTCTTGGGGCTCTTTGGAAGCCTTGTTGGGCCCTCTTGGTGCGATCTGGGGGACCAATTGGGCCGTCTGGAGGCGTCAGGAGCCGAACAGGGGGAAAACGCTCAAATCTGCCCCAAACCTTGGGAAACTCAATACTTTCTACCTCTTGGAGCACTCTTGGGGGTGCTTTTGGAGCCTCTTGGGGCGTCCGGGGGCCCTCCTATGAGCTCCTCATAGCCGAGGGCTCGACATGTGGTTTCGTGTTCTCCGTCTGGGGCCTCTCTTGGAGCGTTCTTGGGGCCGTCTGGGGCCGTCTGTTTATTTCCCATTACGTGCAGATTCCTGTAGATGTGTGTAGCCTGTATGTGCACATGCGTAGTTTCCGCTGTTGGGTTCTGTTGTCATTACCCCGATGTGTGTTCCAGACCCTTGCGTTACCATCATTCCGACACGTGTGCTGCTTCGTAGTCAGTCTTGCGCTATGCTTGTGACGCTGCGTTGTCCTGGCGATGGCCCTCAGACACCCTGGTTGCACTGGGATCACGCGCCGTGGGCAGGACGAGAAGGAAGGGATGACCAGGGTTGAGAAGGTGATGGGGCACGAGACGGAAGCTGAGAGAGAGACTGGTGAGAGGTTGGTGAGGAGAAGGATCAGTCGAAGTGGCGGCGGTGGCTGCAGCAGCGGTGGGAAGCAGGATGTCGTGCGTGTCACTCCTGAGATTTTGGCTGTGCGATGTTGCGGCATAGCTTGCGATGGCGTTTGGAGTCCGTGTGCCTCGGTCGGGGGAAGCCTCCAATGGAGGCCAAATTCCCGAGGGTGAAGTTCGAGGATGACCCGGCGATGCTCGCCGCTGAGGCCAAGGATGCGCCACCCTCGGGGGGATAGGATGGTCTCGCAAATCACCGCAGCGGTTGCCCCACTGTCTGTCTTCGAGGAGGAGCAGGACGTGGAGGAGGAGGAGGATGAGGTGGAGGAGGAGCATGGGAGAGAGCGGCTTCCCGATCTCTCAGAGATCGGGATCCTGCTCTCTCGCATCCTGCTCCTCTGTGGCTTCCCAAAGTCTGGGCTGCTGCGCAGCGCGGGAGAACAAGATGTGGACGAGCACTCGCCGACTTTTGACACTGATTCTTTTCGCTCGCAGATCTGGTCCGGCTGAGATGGGAGATTTTCGTTCCGCGCCGTCCGTTCCGACAACACCGTGTTGTTGTCGCTCCTTGGGGTCTGTCCTTGCCTTGGCGTCCCCTTCTTATCATCCCTTTGCCCCAGTATCAATGAAGCTGGACCCCCCAGCTCTCGGCATCGACATGCTGTTTTTTTATTCACGGTGTCGGTTTGACAGAATGTTGCTTGGTTTGTTTCGAGGGCCTTGTGGCCGTGGTGGGCCCACTTCTAGCTCCCCAGGGGCAGGGTCTTTCCACCCTGCCGGCCCTCCAGTGTGGTCCTTCTCCCGCTGCTCCTCGTGCCTGTACCACTGCCACTGTTGTTGTCGCTTGTCAACAGAACCTCCCTTCCCCCACCCGGTTGGCCGCCTGAGAAGGTCAACGAGACCACCCATCACAATCCCTGACAGAAGCAATACAAGGTGCAATGTGGTCCACCCCGCCCGCCGTCCCTGTGCAGGCTGAAGGACAGTGCACGCCGCGCCTCTCTTGTTCAGCTGCTGCGGCCAGAGCGTTGGCGAGAACACGCATTTCGAGGCTAAAGCAAGCGCATCGGACAGTACGCGGTTGAGGGAACCAGTGCAAAGTGCACATCGCACTCTCTCCGTTGTGCAACATGTTGCCAAGGTGTGAGCGCGAGCTCTGCCCTGAAGCACGTGTACAGAAACGTTTTTGGCGGCATCATCACACCTGCCGCGCTCTCGCTTGACACGTGTGACACATCTGGCGAACCTGGCACCAGCGTAGCCTGCACATCTGGCGCAGTTGGCGCATTTGGCACTTCACTCCAGGCACCTGGCGCGCACCAGGCGCGCATGGACCGCTCGGCGCACCTTGCGCGCTCTGCGCATAGCTGGCGCGTCCGGCTCACCTGGCGTGGGTGGCCCGCTCGGCGTGCCTGGCGTCTTTGGAGGCATCTGTGCTCCTGACGCATCTGGCGCGCCTGCAACCCTCGTCAAAATTATCCTCAAAAAGGGTTTTACTTAGCTGAAATGTCAGTGGGGAGATACTGGGCAGAGTAGCGATGACTGCGAGGTACTTGTATGTGCCGCCGCCAATGTCGGTCATCATCGAATTTCCGAGTCCTTCCCGGTCAGACCACTTTTGCCCTGGCCCCGACATTGGAGGGGCATCTATCGACATTGAAGGGCGCGCCGACATCGCAGGGGCGCGGTCGCCATTTTTGAGGTGAATTTTGACGAGGGTAGTAGTGCATTTTTTTGGAGTGCAGGAGAGCTACATACAGTATGCGCATCAAGTAAGGAACGAGCATACCAGCAGGTGCCCCACGCATATTTCTTTTCCCCCATTGCCCTGGGGGCCCATAGACTCCTTGGACACCTCGGGCATCTCAAGAAGCGGCGACAGCTGCGCCCTTAGATCTCTTATGGCCTGGTTTTCTTATATCGACTTTGTTCGCCGTAGAATGATCTTTGGTGCCCCGCACGGATTTCCTGGATCGGCGCTGGGCCCCCCTGGCGGCGCTCCGCGCGCCGCTCCTCCCGCGCGACGTGTGCCGGGGAGGGGGTTCCAGCGCCGCTGCAGGAGCTTCGCGCTGACCTCCGAGCGATTGTGTTTTCACAGTTTTCTCTCCTGGCGAGCCTGGTGCATTTTCTCGATCCTGACCTGGCGTCCGCATCGGTGCTCCGTTGCTGCCCTGGGGACGTTATCGCTGCCAATGCCGAGCATCGGGTGCTGCTAGTGTGATGGGGCGGAGTGTGGGAGTGAGCGACGCACTTTATGACCTTGTGCTATGGACCCGGTCGCTGTTCCTGAGAAATGGTCGGTCGCTACCTCCCCCACTCGAGGGGCCACCAGCCCAACACCATGCCGACCCCCACCCCGCCCAACAACACCGTCGAACGACCGTGCAAGGTGAACTTTGAGGCCAGCACCAGACCAAGCGCGGGCACCGAATCATGCTTTCGCATGGGTTATTGTCATTGATAATGGGGGTGTGATCAACCTGTCCGCTGTGCGCTGGCACACCATCCTTATCAAAATCACTGTAAGCTGATTGCGGGTGCCCACCCCGTGCACCGTGCTGAATGTCCGCCGCCGTTTTTGTTGGTTTTTGGCCAGGATTGTGGGGGTGTTCACATGATGCTCGATGCGTGTTGCCACATACACCTGGCTGGAGTGGCGCACTCTGCGCACACGTGGCGCACCAGGCGCGCATGGAGAACTTGGCGCACATGGCGTATCTGGCCCACCGGGGGCGCCTGGCACGCGTGGTTACCTTGGGGACCTGGTTTGCCAGGTGCGAGCGTGGCGTGGTTGCCCACCGAGTGTCGGCCATCGCCTGTGCCGACTCTCCGCTGCTGCTCAAGTGGCGGGAGAGCGGGTGGGAGTGAGCGGAACAGAGGGGAGGGGATACTCGGGGGCCTTCGGGGCCTCCTCGGGGCAATCCTGGGCGCATGCCGGATGCCGTCTCGCGTCTCGCGGGCACTTGGAGGCCCTGCCGGGGCCACCTTGGGCCATCGTGGGGCGGGCGACGAGCAGGGCCGGATGATGGGCGCCAGGCTTCTCGTCCGAGTTCGGCTCCACAAGCCTCGGGGGCCGCCAACGGGGGGATGAGGACGAAGGTCAGGAACTTTGACTTTGTACGTCGCTCCGCCGGTTCTGGCCCACCAAGCCTCGGCGCGACACGCTATCGACGTCCCGGTCCCCGAATGTCACGTCCCGAGCGTTTCCCGACCTCCCGCCCCGCGGAGCGGAGCAACACGCTATCCGCTTGCACAGCACAGCGTGTCGCAAGGGCCGCCGCCGCGACACGCTATCCAGCTCTTCCTGACCATAGGGGGGAGGAGCGGGAGGGGATGTCAGGGCTGCCTCACGCTCAGGGGCGGCCTGACCGACCCCTAGCAAACCATCTCCTTTCGTGACGTCCCCATCGCCTCACCCAGAGATGTATGGTTGTGCAGCCAAAGGAAGGCGTCGGAAGGCGAGGATGACGTCACGGAATAGGCTGGTTCATGGTAGAGGTCGGACAGGCCGCGCCCGACCCATACCTCCGACGACTTTTTTTCTCCATGATGTCGACTCCCAGAGGTCTCGACCCATCCCCCGAGACCGGTTTTCCACTCCGAGTCGTTTTTGACGGTCCCGAGGCCCGGTCAGGGCCCCCAGAGACTAAAAGCAGAGAACAACTCCCCGTCGTGAGTTTTTCGGGACCCGAGGGGGTCTCGAGGGAAGAAAGACGAGGACTATGACCGAGATGTCGCAGGATTTTGTTGATGCCGATCTTGGTCATGGTCCATGTCGCCCGTCGCCGACTCGCGAGGATGATCCACGAGCTGACGCTGACCAAGATCGACGCTGACCAAGATCGGCACGACGTTTTCGGTAGCAAGTCATGGGAGCCTGGCATACCCTCTCAATTCCGTCTTCAGCGTCTACTAGCTTCGACTAGCGTCTGGGAGTCGATGAGATAGTGCCGATTTAGCGTCGGTTAGCGTCGGTTAGCGTCGACTAGCGTCGACTTAGCGCCGATCAGCGTCGATTTAGTGTGGATCAGCATCGAATCGCAAGAGCCGACAAGATGGCACGGGGGGCTCCCGTGAGTTGCCCCCGAAGACGTTTCCGCGTTCAGGCTTGGTCGTGGCCCCCGCTTTCTTCCCCTCCATCGGGCGACGAAATCTATACATATCCACTGCTCCCTGACCATGCCCATCCTGAACCCAGGAGCTGTGTATACGCCCTCCTGGCCAAACTAGGAGGGCGTGGCGTATACACAGCTGCTGTGTTCAGGATGGGCCTGGCCAGGGAGCAGTGGATATGTATAGATTGCGTCGCCCCCGCTTTCTTCCCCTCCAGGGGCTGGGTCGCGCCCGACGCGCTCCGCCCGCCAGGGGGGCCCGGGGGCGGCCAGGAGGCCTTCCTGAGGGCCCGGCAGCGCCGCGCCGAGCGCCGGGAGCTCCTCGCGCAGGCCGGGGGGCCGCTGCGGCCGTGAGGGCGCCAGGCGCCCCTGCGAGGGCGGCGGGGGACGCGTCGGGGCACGTTCGGTTCTATTCGGCGGCGAGCCAGGGTGGGAAGCGAGAAGGAGAAGGCCTTCTCGGAGGGCGGCGGGGCTATTCAGAAGTCCCTGCGCCTTCTGATGGGTTCTTTGTGTCTTCGGGGGAGGGTCAGGAAACTTCCCAGAAGGCCGAGGGACTTCCGAGCCTTCTGAGAAGGCCCGCCCCTTCTCACTTCCCCCCCGCGCTCGCCTCCAATCTATGGAAGTCTGGCCCGAAAGAAAAGGCGAGAGAGGATCAGCTGGATGGTTTTTCTGTTTCAGAAGCCCAGCAGTTTCGTGCGAGGTACCAGCCTACCGTCGGCCTCATCCCAGGGGTCATCGACGCGCTGGTGGTCAAGGAGGAAAATCATGACCCTTCGAAGGATGCCTGTGAGGGCGGCGGGGGGCGCGCCGGGTTACGTTCGTTTTTTACGGAAGCCTGTCTTAGTCCTCAGACCCCTCAGGGTCATCAACAAAAATCACGACGGGAGGTTTTTCTATGTTTGCGGCCTTTGGGGGCTCTCGCGTGGCGTCGGGGCCGTCAAGGAACGACGCGGGGTGGAAAGCCAGTTTCGGGGAATGGTTCGACCCCTCTGAGGGTCGACGTCATGAAATAATCATTAGCGGCAAGCAGCGGCAGACAGTGGCAGATAGTGGCAACCGATTGGTGGCAAAAGCGGCTCACGTTCCGTGGCAACCGTCCTTCAATCACCTTTTGTTCGCCGGTATTGGCTGCCACACGGGCAAAAAGATTTCAAACCTAAGTAGGGTGCTGCGGCAGGGGGCGGCTGCAGATGGCACATCTGTCTGCAGCATAAACTCTCGACGGTCTGCGCGGATTTCTTGGATCTGCGCTGGGCCGCCCTGGCGGCGTCGCCAGCGCCGCCCCTGGCGCGCTCCGCACGCCAGGGGGAGGAGATCCAGCGCAGATCCAATAACATCCGAGCGGACCGTCGGAAGTTTATGTTTGTGCCGTGTTTTCTTCTTCTATAGTGCAGACGAAAGGACAGCACGCGCACTCATGTCGACCGGGGGGGTTGGGGGTGGGGGAGGAGGACTGGCTATGGACATGGGTGCGGGCTGTCGGACCCCAAGGCAGGCTCCCCCTCGAGCGGAGAGCCTCAGCCGACAGCACGCGCCTGTAGCCTTCTCCGCTCCCCCTTGTGGGTATTGTCGTGTGTGTGTGTGCTGTTCGTTTGCTCTATCCTGCCCCGTCGCGAAGCGTGACGTCAGGCGCCCTGCAGCCCGTCCTGGCGGTGGGCTGGGGCGCCGACCGAGGCGACTGCCCGCGCCCCGACGGCCGCCCTGACCCGCCGCGAGCGCGCCGCGCCACGAGCGCGCGGCGCCCCGGCGGGCGACGAATTTGCTCGCGCGGGGGCGGCGGGTGGGCCTCCGGCCGCGTGCCTCGGTGCTGCCCGCAGCCGTGCAGCCTCTGCGCCGCAGGCTGCCCGAGGGCCGCCGCACGGCGCCGAAGACCGACTGGCGGCACCGGGGTCCACGCGGTCGAATCCACACGCCGCTCTCTGCCTCTCTGCTGCTCGTCCCCTCCTTCCCGCTGTTGCCGCTGCTGCCCACACGTCGCGCTCGGCTGCTGACGCTTTCGGGCGAGGCTGCGCCAGCAAAGACCAGAGCCTCCCTCCCTCCACGGGGCTCTCGGATCACCAGAGCAGCTTGCAGAGTAGGAGGAAAGTTGGATGGTCCTGCAAGGGGGCTCCGGGAGAAGAGGTTCGGCGAAGCCCCTGGTCAAGAGAACAAGGGGCTTCACAAATGAATGTAAGCTCGCCCCGCAGAAGTAGCTTGTCGTACTGCTCCAAGGCCACTCCCTGCCTAACCAACATGCTGGATACTTGCGCCCAGAACCGTGGCCTTGCGCCGCGTCAGCAAAGTCGTTGAGCCTGTTTTATCCTCGGGGGTGAAATCTCACACCCTCCCCGTGCGCCTTCGGGTTAACGACATAGTGGAGGGGACGAAGATGGAATACCGCACGGCACACTGACAGCTGGGTAGCACCCGTCTTTCTCGCCGGAGGCTATCGAAGTTGCTCTCGTTGGCTCTCGGATGTTTTCTTTCACGCGATGCTTCCCAGCAGCTGCTCCTCGGCGGGAGCGTTCCCGGGGGGTGCCCGAATCGTCCCGAACGGCCGCCAGTGGCCCGAGTTACGGCCCGAGAGCCACCCCGAACCCAGTCCCCCCTCCCCGCCCCCCGTCCCGGGTCGGAGGCGCGTCAGCGCGCGCTCCCCCCCCCGCGCGACGCTGGCCTCGAGAGGCCCAGCAGTCAGAGCACGCCTTGGGCAAAGCCTGCGGCGAACGACTGGGCGACGAGGCACGGCGAGGCCCCCCCTGGCCTTTCGGCTCGGCTGGGGAGGCCCGTCGCTGGCGTCGGGGAAGTGGGGAGGCGGGCTGCGGCCAGAACGCGCCACAGCGGGGAGCACCCGTGGGCTCAGGAGAGGCCCCGGGTTCAAGACCGTTCCTCGGACCTGGACGACTGTTCACGAGCGGCGAACGTGTCCATCTCCACGCCCTCGCGGCCTAGCTTCTGGGGCGCGATCCCGCGGATACGCGGTCGCATGGACCGGTTCCGCGCGGGGCATCCGCGGAAAAGCGCCCCGTATCCACGGGCTTGCAGCCGAGGAGCCCAGCCCGCAAGTCCGTGGAAAATGAATCTGTCTTCCGCCCGCTAGCTTTGGGCTCAGGGGGGGCCCCCTGGGCTCCGGACAGTTCCTCAGATCTTTGCTTGGGATCTTGGCGGTGACTGGGGTTCAGCTCGATGTGGAGCCCCTCTCGCTCCTCATCTGGCGTGTCTCGTGGCCACGCGGCTCGCTGCAGGTCTTCCCGCAGGGGCGCGAAGGCTGACCACGCTCTGCGACTTGCGGTCCGGGCCCAGGGGGGTGATGCTGTCCTGGGTTGGGGCGGCGCGGACGAGGAGCGCGGGGACAGCGCGCGCGAGGAGGAGGAGGAGGAGGAGGAGGAGGAGGAGGAGGAGGAGGAGGAGGCGGAGGAGTCTCTGGAGTCTCTGCCTGATCGCGTAGCGATGTGGATAATTAGACCTCCGCCATCCCACTTGGGGTGTTGTGAGCTCTGGTGGCCTTCTCAGCTCGACTGAGGGCCTTCGGCCAGAGCCCCTTGGAAACACGCTTGAGGTATTCCTGCCCCGAGGGGGTGAGCCTACCGCAGGGTTCCCCGAGTTTCCCGAGAACCAACTGAGCGTAGGCTCCACACCTGACACAGAACCACAAATTCAGCCCAGCGTGGAACCGAGAACGGTGGCTACTGTGCACGAACCCCCTCGCGACATGGACCGACTTCCCCTGAGGGGCCTCCTTATAAGTGCCGTCAATGTTAAGAGGCTCAAAACATTCCGAAAGGAGCCAACGGGACCTCGAAGCTTTGCTGGAGGAGCACAAGCACCTAGTACATTGGGAGCCAGTGGGGTCGACAGAGTGCTGGGACCCAAAGAGAGCACAAGAACGAGGGGCAGGCGGTCGGTCGGCCTTAGCCGCCTGCCTCTTAGGGCGTTGCTCCCTCTGACACTGAAACTCCTGCCTCTGGGCCTCGAGGGTGTCGAGTGCCGTGCGAAGTAACCTCATGCGGACCTGAAAAGCTTTTTGTTCAGCCAGCGCTACCCGCTGGCGGTGTTCAGGTGAAACCCGTGCCTCACTGGCGGCAATACCAGCAAGAGTGTCTGCAACACAACTGCCCGCCGCCAAAGACGAAGCAATCCTCCCTTGGATGATGTCCTGTGGTTCGGCGTGAGAAGGTATCCAGATACCTGTGATCGTGCCAGTACGCTGCGCTGTCGCCTTCTTCAATCTCAGCCAGAGGTCAGCGTCGCTGCCTGTAGGTTCCTGGGCCTTGCCGTGATGGAAATTGATATAACAGGCTTCATTGTCGGTGAAAAAGACGAGGTCCTGGTCTGTAGCCTCCACCGTCGCGACGAGAGCGAGGAGTTCGCCTCTGGGTACCGTCTGATGTGGACCTGGTAACGGCCCCCAGAAAGCAGCACTCATCTCCATGTCGTTGTCCTCGAGGCTGGTAAATATGGCAGCTCCGACACCCACCCTCCGAAGATGTGGGTTGTTGGTGTCCTGGCTGCCGCTTGCATCACCCAAAGCGTAAAGTGTCGTATCAGCGTGGGCTCGTAGACATTGTGGGAAGAAATGCTCGAAACCATGGCAGGACCACTGTTCATGTTGTGGCGGTTGTGGTACTGCCGTCCATGCTGCTGGCATTAGTCCCCTAGTCCAGAAACACTCGTACATGTCCCGCTGGGCGTAGGCCTCTGGTAGTAAATAGTTGGTGCCCTGAAGGATGGGATTGTCATGATTGCCTTCGCATTCCCAGGCGCGGTGGAAGTCGTCCTCATTGGCCAGGCCGCACCTGGGTCACTTGGCGTCAACGTCTGGCATCTTCGTCTCCTGAAATACTCGCTGCCGTGTCCACATGGCGCCCGTAGCGATGGTGAGCATCAAATTGGCCAACCTTATTCCCGGTGGCATGCGCTCTAAGTAGGTGAGCAGCTTGCGGTAGGACCTGTTGTCCACACCGTGCTGTAGGCCCTCACCTCCATGGTGCTTGCTCGCACAAGTCCACAGTTGATGGCAGATGCTGGTGCCGACGTCAAGTAAGAGCTGATGTGGAATGTCGGCGTCGGGGAAACCTGAGAGCTCAGTGACGTCAATCACCCATGAGTCCCCGCTGAGACCTGCTGTCTGAGGCATGCGCCATTGAGTCGGTTGTGATGGGTCCCACCCCATCTGCATGAGGTAGTGGATGATGGTGGCTTGTGGGCCACGTATGTGTCGGACACGCTGAGCTGCTGGGGTGCGCTTGGAATGCCCGACGATATTTGCCCACGTGCTGTTGATGGCATGGTGGAGCTGCTGGTGGGAAGTCCACGCCGTGAGCCACGCAACGACGGATTCACGCGGCAAGTTTCGTGCTGGGTCCCGTTCTGCAGCCTTGAGGTCGAGAAGAGTGGTCAAACACCGTCCTCGGAGCCGCGGTCCGACCGCGTCTCCCAGGCGCCGTCTGCAAGTAGTCATGGCCGTTCCGAATGTGCCGTAGAGTTGATGGGCATCGTTGGCTGCTGCGAGCCCGCCCTGAATGGCCAGGCGGGATGTAGCGTGATATCGCTTGGTGGCTCGGGCTACCCTGACGATCTTGGCATGCATGTTGCGGTGCCGTAGACGTCGCTGGGTGGTGGTAGCGCGCGCCTGCCTGGTGCCGCAGCTGAGGTCGGCCCCCAAGTATGCGGCCTGCGCGCGTGGCTGGATGGGGTACCCCTTCATGCGCATGGCCTTGGCTATGTACTTGGCGTCCTGGATGCGTGTGTGCATGCTATGACGCTCTTCTTGGCGATGCCGAGGCCGTAGTCCTGGAGCGCCATGCAGGTGTCGGTGAGAACGTGAACCATGGCGACGCGCAGGGCGCGTCGGCTGGCCTGCATGCGCTGCGACAGGTCGTCGACCCATATGCGGTGCCGTGCCTGAGGATGGCGCGTGGTGACATGGAGCAAGGCCTTGTAAGTCATGATCTTGGCGAAACGAGTGCCCGACCGCAGCCCTTGCACCGCTGAGCGCGTGGGTTGAATGGCATCGGCGTAGGCGCCGCTCTGCGTGAGCGTGCGTGGTGCCGCGCACTGTAAAACCTCCCTAAGCCCAAGATCTCGGGCGGGAGATTGAGCTCTAGGGCCTCGTCAATGAGGGTGGTCCAATGTATGGAGTCGTAGAGCTGCGAAGCGTCAAGGAGGCCGCGAGCCTGCGTGATGCCGAGCTTGGCGGCCACCTCCTCGTGGAGGCTGCGCTCGTAGGCCTCGCGGAACGCAGAGTTCCCTTTGGCGATGGCATCCCAGTGGTCGAAATACTCCCTGTTCCAGGCCTGTGCGTAGGGTTCCCTGATGAGGGACCAGTGCCGAGCGATGATGGTCATGATGCCGAGTATCCTGTCCCCGCTATCTTTCTTGGCCCTCATGGCGCCGATGGTGTGAAGGAGTTGATGGGGCCACATATGCACCTGCTCTGCAATGTTGTACAGCTCGGCGAGCTCGCTGAGTGCGTTGTCTGATTGCCGTTGTAGGCCGGCTGGTCGAAGTCGGTCGGCTCCCAAAGCAGTATTGGCTTTGAGACGCTTGATGGCTTGTCGCACCTCGTGGTTAGTGATGGGCGGCAGCGGGCGCTCCTGGATTCGTTCGACGATGCGGTGGAAGCACTCCTGCAGTCCGCCAATATTGGCGCCTCCCTCGGGTGCCCAGAGTCGTCTCCAGGTGTCCACCTTGCTGTCAATCAGGTCCTTGGGGTGCATGATGGCGGCGCCGCGGTCCTTGGTGACCTCGGCGGGTTGTGGCTGAGGTCGTAATGCACGATGTAATATACCTATGGCGTCGTCAGTGACCGCCCAGTCGCGAAAGTTGTAGATGGCACGTCGTATGGCTCGCTGCTGTGCTCGCCGTGCTAGTCGTGATGCTCTGACTGCACCAGCGACGACCTGCTCAGCGCTGTGTTGCTGTATGTTGCCGAGGAAACCGAGCCACTGCGTCCAGCTGTAGCCGTCCTTGTCGTGGATGACGTGAGCGGCTTGGCTGGGAG